CAGAGCTTCCCATCCACTGGGGAAGGAGAAGTGCCAAAGCCATCTACTCCCTTCTCCCCACCCCTCCACTCCTCGGGCCACCTTTGCTGCTGCCAGGAACCAGCGAGGCAGCTTGGGCTGAAGCGAGCAAGTGGAAATTTCCTCCCTGTCCCTTGAGCCTTGCAAAACGTCATTGTAAAAACATCTGTGGGATTCTATGCCTTCAGCCAACAGAAAAACAAGGGCTATAAACAAGGGCTCTTAATTACCCAACACATTGATAAAGCCAAGGAGAGATTACTCAACCCCTGAAGCGCAAAGGTGCCATGCTCAGAACACCTTGTCACATTCTTGTCCCATCCCAAAGGGGATGATGTACCGGGTGCAAAGGCCTTGCCCAGGCAGTGTCGCAATGGTTGCGGCACCTTCCATCTCCTCGGGCACTGCTCCTCTATCCCCATTTCCCAGGAATCAAAGGGCATCATTTTTAGGGTCCAGAGCATGGAGGAAGAACTACAAGCCCCTCGTTTTTAGATTACATTGGGCTGCCTGTGGCTCAAGGGTGGCATTCCGGCCATCACTCTGCATGGGAAAGCCATGCTGGTCGATTCCATCCCATTTTTATATTATTTAATTAACCTCTGATACATTCAACTCAATTAATTGAAATTATTTAATTGTTATATTTAATTCATCATTTAATTCACTTGTAACATAGTTGTAGGTGGAGGTTTTTAAGAAGAGATTGGACAGCCATTTGTCTGAAATGGTGAAGGGTCTCCTGCTTGAACTAGAAGACCTCCAGGGTCCCTTTCAACATTGCCATTCTCCTATTTGGTTACTTCTTTCAAACCTCTGGCTCCAAGTGAAATCCTGAAGAGTGAAGCAACTGTTAAACTTTCAGGACTCTTTTTCAGGTTCCTCAAGGGAGGTGGGAAGTAGGCAGAAGCTCCTGAGGTTCTTCAGCAACATAGCCAGAAAGAGCTCTTGATTGAAACCCAGCGAGTGGCCTTCTACCATCTCCTCCTGATTCAATTTGGGATGGGGGGGGAGGGTCCCCTGTGGACAGGACTTCCTGCTTCTGCTCCCCAAATTCATTAATTGTGTTGGACGGTCCCTTATTTTCTTTCTCTGCCTTTTTGTTCTGAGAATCTCTTGCCCCTAACAGACCCCAAACCTTCAGTCTTTGTGGATTGTATGGAAGGGATCTTGGCTACATTCCAACTTATTGCAATAGATCCATTGTACTCTTCTGCCACAGAAACCACAGTTATTGGTTGAATTTCCCCATAGGGTTGGCATATGTGCAACTAATCTTTCCATCTTTTAAACTCTTTCTCTTTAAGAGCACTCTTTTTTCTCTTTTCTGTTTATCTTGTATTCCCAACACCATCTTGGTTTGTTGACTAATCCTTAGCAGCCTCCAATCCTTTCATTTTTGCATCCTAAATCCCCCCCCCACTTCTTTTATCCTTCATGGTCTTTAAAAAGGTCAACATTGGTATGAAAATAGAATGCAGGGTTCTCCAGAACTTTCCTTCTTCTTTTCCTTTCCTTTTCTTTCCTTTCCTTTTGTCCCTTTTCCTTTCCTTTTTCAGAGTAAATTGAGATCCCAGGGGCCTATCCCATGAGGGTGTGGTAAGAAAAGTCAAGATAACAGATGCAATGGTGCAATCAAAACTCTGTCCATTTTTAATGTGTCACAGAGGTGGGCTTTGATCACACAGGTGGAGCTTCTATTAAAATGCTGAGACACCACCTTGACCATATCTGAGGCTATTCATTCATTCATCCATCCATCATCTATCTATCTATCTATCGATCTATCAGTAGAGTAATTCCTTACAAAAGCAATTGACTTTTGGCAGTTTAACTGGTAAAGGTCAGTTGTATTTAACCATAAATAAGTGCCCAATCATTGGAAATAGATTTACTTCTCTTGCCCTTCACCTTATCCAAAAGTGAAGGTATTTTGTTTTATGAGGGTTTGAATATGACGATTGTTCCAATTGTTCCGCACCTTCATCGTTCCATCTGAGACTTTAGGGGCCATCAGAGGCCACCGTTTATCAGCTTTCTCACCTTTGCTCCCCCAGTTCTGACTGGCGTTGATTAAGAGTTGTGTATCTTATGAACAGGAGTCCTGAAAGAGGCAAATCCTGCCTGGTGCCTTGATAGAAAGGATCTACAGAAAAACCCAGGACATTCACAGTTGCGGGAGATGCTCTGCTCTGCATTGAAAAGATCCAATATTCACCTCCCACCCTGCCCAGTTTCTGGGTCTCTACCTGGGTACTTGGAAATTGGGGAAGGGCAGCTTCATCTGTTCCCATGACAGCCCTTGCCCTTTCTCCTGGTGGGGGGAGGTGGGGGAAATGGACATTCTGTCCTTGTTACTGCTATTTCTCAACTGTTTTGGAAAACCTTGAATTTATCCCAATATTACCTCCAAGACTTGCAGTGTGAAAATGTTAATAAAAGGCTGCCGTTTCCCCCCAACATGTCAGATGCTCAGTAGTCTCCAACTGACCCTCCACTTGTAATGCTGCCTCCTTTCTCCCTCCTCAGTTGATATGGGATGTCTATGCCCCCACCAATAGGGATTAGCCGTAGGGGAGCAGAGGGTCCTCCCCTCCCTTCGTGCAACCAAGCACCATCTGATTTGGTTAAAAAGCAGCTCCCATCATCCCCAGCCAGACAACTGCTCAGCTGATCTCATTGTGAGAAGGCAGGAAGTTAGCAAAGCAAAAATTCAGGTCTTCAGCAAAGAAACAGCCGGAGAATTATCTCCTTCCCTACCAGCCATGAACCACGATGGTGGCGGTCATGGTGGGAGGAAGGGGCTCCACACTCAAAAACATTCTTGCCAGGATTTCTGCTTGGAAGTCAAAAAAGTCCAGATGGTGGCCATCAACTGAGATCAAAGCACCATTTCTTTGGCTGTGGATATGTGTGTGTGTGTGTAGCAAAGGGTGGGGCTTTGATTGCTGGGGGGCAGCCAGCTTGACCCCCATCCTCGTATACATCTCTGCCAATCAGGATCTCAGCACAGGCAGGTTGCAGCCCTGCATACCTCCCGGTCTTTTTCCTTGAGGGGGAAGGAGAGAGAGAGAGAAAAGGAGAGAGGAAAGGAGAGAGGGAAAGAGATGGGCGGGGGGGGGGGGGCAAGCTGGTGATAATCCAGCTCTTTCAGAATGTCCTTCTAACTCAAAATCCTTTGTAAATCTTGCTCATTTTATTGCTGGCCCGAGGATCAGAAGTTCTGGCTCTTAAGCGTTTTTTGAAATCCTTCCTGCAAATCTATTTTCTTTTTATTTTACTTAGTTATTCATTCAGTAGATTGATCGTCTGCCTTTCTTCCAGGGTCTTCTGGGGGAGACAGTACCTGCCTCCCCTGCTTTCCCCCCACCACAGAACCCCTGTGAGGTTGGCTCCCGTCCAAGAGGAGGGATGGCCCAAAGGCTCCCAGGAAGTCTTGGTGGCTGAGAGTGGAGGGGAATGTTGATCTTCCCCACGCCCTGGGGCGAGGGGGCACACATCTGGTCTCTCCTCATCAAATCCAGAAGTGCTGCTCATTGAGACCCTCGTCAGTGGCTGTGGACCCCAATTCCACAGGTCCTCCCAAGAGATGGACGTTGGATAGGCATTTGTTCCCTGAACGAAAGCAAAGTTCCCTGGTGCTGTGGCAGAAACAGACACTCTGGATCTCATCCAGTTGTGTGGCTCTTGGGCTTCTGTAACTGGCAGTTGCTGATCTGAGCAGGCCCCTTCCAGGGTACGCCTAGAAGCCTGATTGTGCCATGCCAGTCTGCTGATTAACTAAACATTTACCAATTGCTCAAAATCCTTGGCATCGGCTCGCCATGAGACGCAGCCCAATGTGGAGGCTGAACCGCAGTATATAAAATATCATTCGAATGATCCCCAAATCGGCCTGGGATCAGATTGCCCCAACAGGGTTCCCACTGTGTCCATCCTGCCTAGGGAGTGGGGTTCCTTGTCAGAGCTCTGACAGGGGCCAGCCTGGGAAAGGCTGGCTGAGGGCCACTGCAATGGGGAGACTCTGTGCTGGAGAGATGCTTCCAATCAGCGCCTCATCTGTCATCTTAGTGATGCCTCCCTTTCCGGCTCTGGTGCATCTTTGCAGAGATCATCTCTGCAGCCCAGAGGACACGCTGCTCCCACTTACTGCCAAGGGGGGAAAGCCCACAGGATCCGTCCTTTGTTGGATTTGCCAGGAACTGTTTGCTCACCATTCTCTCTGCTTTGAGCACCTGAGTGGAGGAGGCCTCGGAGCTCAATTCTCTGCCCAGGGATGGCACAACAGAGGCGTTAATTGCAGGTGAACACAGGTGTCTTTATGCAACAGCAGGGACTGGTTTTGCCTGCCTTTCAGAGGCAGCCGATTTGAATCCCACCTTGACTCCCAGGCAAACTCAATGCAAACGGCCTCTGTACATGCTCAAGGCCACCCTGTTATCAGTGCTTTTTATGCTGGCGCATTCCCAAAGGATAGGGCGACAGTGCCCAGAATTCCTGCCTGGATGGGCCGCTGAGGAATTCTGGGAGTCAAAGTCCTCCCATCTGGAGAGGGTGACTGCCTCTGTCGCTTTCAAGAGAGGCGAAGCTTTGAGGGCACCGGTGGTGCCACCTCTTTTAGGAGAGGCAGGCATGCCCACGTCGTCCTCGCTTATGCAGTGACTGCCTTTCTTTGAAAGTCACGGATGCACCGAGAAAGGAGCGTTTCTCAGCCGGCTCTTAGTGGGTCTACGCCCTATACTTGGCCTAGGCTGGCACCCAGATCTGGCAGAGGCTTCCAAAATGAAAGCTTGAACTCAGCACCCATGAAGAGCAAATAGCTCTTCTTCCCCAGCTGGCTGGAATGGCCCCTCCCCTCCCCTTTTGGCCTGACTGCACTTTTGTCACCCTTCTCCCACGCCCCCAATCAGTGGGGAGGGTGCCAATATTCTCGGGAGATAAGAAAGGTGCTTCTCCTGCCAAAGGGGCCGGTCAGCCAGAGGAGCCGTGGACAGCTCAGTGAGAGAAGCCACTGCTCTCCCAGGGTGAAGCCGTCGTGCAGCTGCAGCCAGGAGCGGAGAGACTTGGGTGAGTCTTGCAACAGTTGGGGGCAGGTGTGGGGTCTCCAGGAGAAGGAAGCTTCCATCCAGAAGGGAACAGGCAAGCCACCTTTCCTCAAAGCTCCCCTCTTTGGTTTTCAAATACTTGAAGTAGCTAAGAAGAAATTGGCCTGACCACAAATGAAAAATTCTACGGTCTACAGCAGGGGTCTCCAACCTTGGCAACTTTAAGCCTGGCAGACTTCAACTCTGAAGTCCGCCAGGCTTAAAGTTGCCAAGGTTGGAGATCCCTGATCTGTAGGACACCTTTGAAAGTGTTAAAGCAGAGAATTGCAAAAAAGAATATTTGAGAAGCAAGAAACTCCTTCATGCTTTTCTTGGAATACTTTTTCATTAGGAGCTTTGCAGAAATAAATGTGTTTCTCCTTGGCCGATGATGAGCAGAGATGGAACACAGGGTCCCTGACCCTTTAGGAACTGCCTCCCACTTCGAGTATGGACTGGCACTGAGCTCTTCCTTGGACAGAAGGTCCAGGAGATTCTGGATAACATTCTCCTAAGTCAGTCATCTCTCTGCCGTTATTTGCCATCCCATTCTAAGAAGCAGCTCATCAACATCTCATCCCACCTCGTCAAGCATATCCCATCAGGCAAGGATCAAGGGGGAAGGTCTTCTCTGCTGTGGCCCTTCAGAACATCTAGCCCCCGCCCCAAAGAGAGGCAGGCCCCCATCCTTTTGGCTTTTGGGTTGAGACCTGGATTTGCCCATTAGCATGGGGTCTAAAAGTGTGACGCAGCCCCGAGACTTGATGACATCCCTGCTGCCTTGTGAACTTTTCAGCTTTTGTGTGTTTGTATGGTTTCGTTATGATGCTGTAAACTGCCCAGAGTCACTTAGGTAAGATGAGCAGTTTAGCAATTAGGCCAACCAATTAACCAAGCAACCAAGCAAACAACAAACAAACAGCCCTTGTCCAGCTGCCATTCAACAACCACCTTCCCCTCTTCCCTGGACTCTCCAATTAACCCAACCTTCAAGTAGCCCATTCAGCCCTGAATTAAACACTTGAGCCGGGTTCATTCAGCACCCTAAACTAAAACGCGGCAGCTCCCTTTCTGGTTTGGTGTGAAGGGAGAACCAGGGAATCGTAGAGCCATTGGGGGTCTTTCTCCCTGGGAAAGTCTACCTCTTTGGAGGCCTACAAAGGTGTTCTGAATATGTGGCTTTGGGTTACAGCAGAAAACAAATGTGGGGCATCCCTGGGGTGAACTCAGTCACCCAGCCCAATTTTGTGATTTTTCATTTGGCTGATTGGTTCCACCTTTGACTTCTGTGCTCTGTTCTTGGGGGAGGGAGAGAGAGAGAGAGAGAGAGAGAGAAGGAGAGGAAAAGAGAGAGAAGGAGAGGAAAAGAGAGAGAGAAAAAGAGGAGAGAGAGGAGAGAGAAAAAGAGGAGAGAGAAAGAAGGAGACAGATGGGAAAAAGAAGACAGAGAGAGAGAAGAAAGAGAAAGAGCGGAGAAAGAGAAGGAGACAGGAAAAAAGAGGAGACAGATAAAAGAGAGAGAGAGAGAAGAGAGAAAGAGGAGGGAAGAGGGAAGAAGAGGGAAAGAGAGAGAGAAGGAGCAGAAAAGAGAGAGAGAGAAGAAAGAGAAGAGAAAGAGAGGAGAGAGAAGGAGACTGAGGAAAAAAGACAGAGAAAAGAAAGAGAGAGGGAGAGAGGGGGGGAGGGAGGGTGAGATCTTGACCTGATCAGTCTGGCTGGCTGCAGTGTTGACAAGAGTGGGGGGGGGGCTGTGGGTTTCCTTTCCCTGCCTGTTAACAGAGGTGGGTAAAGAGGGCAATGGGGACACAGCTCTGCCAAAGCCTCACTGCACCCAGAACAAGGTGGCCTTGTGGGGAATGACAAGCGAGACAGATTTAAGGCCCCATTGTCACATTCCACGGTCAACCTCCATCCACCTCATTGGGCTGGCAGGGAACATGTTTGCATGCCGGGGCATAATCTTTGTCTTCCAGAATCGGCCAGCCATGTCCGACTTGGAATTTGGACGGATGTCTTTCAAAGAGCCTGAGCTGGAGGCCAAGCGTGGCCCGGCCCAGCCCCACTGGTACGAGCGCTACCTTCAGCCTTGCATCGGAGAGCTGGTGGGCTCGGCCTTCTTCATCTACATCGGCTGCGTTTCGGTCATCGAGAACTCAGAAGGCACTGGGAGGCTGCAGCCGGCGTTGGCTCACGGGTTGGCCCTGGGACTGACCATTGCCATCTTGGGGAATATCAGGTGAAGGAAGGGGCAGCCATGCGGTTTGGTCAGGGGATGTGGTCAAGTTAGCCATGCTGGAGCGATGGAGGAAGCTAGAGTGCACAAGAGGAGGAGGAGGAAGAAGAGGGGTCAGTTGGATTCAAGATCCATCCTCCACTGTTTCTCAACCATGGCAAGTTGCAGAAGGGTGGACTTCAACTCCCAGCTTTGCTGGCTGTGGAATTCTGGAAGTTGAAGTCCACCCATCCTCAACTTGAAAAACATTGATTGACAGGACTGCAATGTCAGTCCTCTTCCTCTGAATTGCTCTTCCTTTGAATGGAGCCCCCACCTGGGATATTTTCTTTCTTTCAGGCATGCTTTATTGATTGATGGATTGACTGTATGGCATAATCATACATGGACTAGCAATTTCTATTAATATTTCACCTAGATTAGTAAAGCAACATAAACCGTAAACGTTAAAAAGATCTCTCTTCAAATACCAAGGCCTAGGCCATCTCACCATTGAAGCAAAAATAATAATGATTTTAAAAAAAATCAGATACTGGACCAGCATATGCCCTCAGTTTAGAGTCAGCCAGGATGTGCTCTGCAGTTTGTTGTGGGTCCCTGCAGCCACACTGAGGGGAGGATACTGTGCCTCATTTACACAGAGAGGCAAGGTAGATGACGAAAGTCTACTTAAACAACAACTTACTCCCCTGTGATTCCCATCTTGGAGTAACACTCGACTGGACTCTCTCCTATAAGGTATACCTAGCACAGGGGTGTCAAACCTAAGGCCCAGGGGCTGCATTTGGCCCATGGGGTGCTTAGATCTGGCTCGCGGGGCCACCCTGGAAACAGTGAAGGACTGGCCCACGATGCCTCTGCCGGGGAAACAGAGCTTGCGAGGGCGACGCACAGCCCTCCTGAGCTCCGTTTTCACTGGCAGAGGGTTGCAGGGGGCCATCCCAGCCGAAAACAGAGCTCAGGAGCCCATTTTCACTGGCAGAGCACTTGGGCCACCACATGTCTACCCCCCAACACATGTGATGTCATGCTGGCCACAGCCACCCCGGTACCCCAAGATCAAACACAAACCTGATGCACCCCTCAGTGAAATCAATTTGACACCCCTGACCTAGAGACGATGATGACAAAAATCAACACACAGAACAACGTACTCCGGAAATTACGTGGAACTAAATGGAGAGCTTCAGCTTCCCCCCTGAGACCTTCAGCACAAGGCTGACTCTTGAAAGTCAGGTCTCAAACAGAGTTTATCAAGTTAAACCTGTGGTCATCTTTAACCCTTCATTTCACTTTTATGAGTTTTGCTCTCTGCCCACAGGCAATGGGGTGATCCAGTGCCCCTTTTCTGCCAGGCCTTCCTCTGACCAAAGATGTCTCTCTCCCTCTCTCTGCCTGCAGTGGAGGCCACTACAACCCGGCTGTTTCCCTGGGGGCCTGGCTCGTTGGTGGGCTGAACATGGTGATGGTCATTCCATACTGGATCTCCCAGTTGTGCGGGGGAATGATTGGAGCAGGCCTGGCTAAGGTATGGAGGAGGATTGGGAAGGGGGAAGGGAAAGGGGGAGGGGTGAGCTAACTCTACATTATTGTAAGATTACATTAATAGAAATGGCAACTCTGAATGTTCTATACATCTTTTCCCCGGACCCCTTTGTGGCCTAAGAAACTAGGGAGAGTCCCTTCTGAGAAGTTTCCCACATCCACTTTTCTGCTCCGGGCTCAGCCAATTTTTATCTGCTTGTCCCCTTGGTTGTTGTGCCCTGTCTCCCAAGGCCTTTCTCACACACACCGTTGCAGATGAAGAGCAGAGGCCATGGCAGGTGTTGGGTGGTGCTCCATGTGCTCCCAGGTCCCTCACTCACAGCCTGTGGAGGCTTGCAGATCTTGCCCCTCCCCCCTCCTTGCTTTCTACCTGGGCATTCCAGAGAGGTGCGGCTGGAGCAGACAAGGCACAAAAACCTGGTCAAGAGCCAGGAAACAATTAAGGACGCACAGAAATCACTTTCCATGAACACTGAGGCACAATCAGTCCTCTGAAATACCCAAAGGCCCAGTGAATTTAAAGGAACACCAACATTTTACTGTTTACAATCTACTTTTGCTTTTTCTCACACACATAAGCACACTCGTGCACATTCACACATGTCCTCCTCCACCAGGCTAGCAAGCACAAGCCAGAGAGACAAAGCTGTCTGGATCCAAAGATGACTCAAAGAGTGTGGTGGGGGGGGGGCTTCAGTACCCCTTTTATCCCCCAAAGTCCTTCCTCCTGTGACTCACAAGATGGGCAGCTACTCTTGCTTTGTTTACTTATAAATGTAGGGTAGCTATTGAAGGGATTGGGGTGTGTGTGTGTGTGCGTGTGTGGGAGGGGGGTTACCAGGTGCTCAACTTCCTTTGTCTTGTTAAAGTGACATTTTTCCTTTGTTTCTTTACCATCTTTCTTTCTTTCTTTCTTTCTTTCTTTCTTTCTTTCTTTCTTTCTTTCTTTCTTTCTTTCTTTCT